GTCCGTCCCAAAACAATAGTCTTATTTCCATAAATAATCATATCACCATAAAACTACTCATACTTTTTCATTTTATTGCACAATTGTCACTACTTTTTACACTAATACACAAGAGTAAAAAAGTCTTTTATCCATACTTTTTACCCACTACCAATATAATATCAATATTCTTTAAATCCAGTGTCCAACCCAATTAAGACTATATTTATGGGACGGAGGCAGTATATAAAAGTAAAAAAGCTATATTTTAATAATACTTTTAGAATTCTCAAATATCTAACAAGAAATTTTAAAAAAAATAAACAAATTACACACTAGAAGAATGTACAAACTATTTTAAAATAAAATATAAATTATTTTTAATTGTCATTTTACGCATAAACAACCGTTAATTTTCCAAACAATCCAACACAAATAGCTAATGTATTCTTGTTATCAAATCAATTAATCAAATAAGCTAACAGTTAATTATCAAACAACACATTACTCAATTATTAAAACTCAATCTTTCATATAACAAACTATCCGACATACTAAAACAAAATGATTCTTGCACTCCAGATATAATATCATGCCTAGACTAAATTTAGATAGACTTAATGGCATTGACTGCTTGAAGATTCAGAAGTAGTTGAATTGAGAGATATTTCAAGTTGAGCTTGATATACATATATTGAAGGATGTCAGTAGGAATTCCTTTAGTGAAAACATATACCAATTGCTTAGAGAAAGGAATGAACCACAAATCAATGGTTCTTTTTGCATGGTAATCACAGATGAAGTGATACTCAATGTCTACGTGTTTTGTGTGCTCGTGATAAACTGTATTTTGAGTCATGTGAATGGTTGATTGGTTGTCAGAAAATATAGAAAAAAACAAATCAATATATTTTTAAAAATCTCTTATTAAATCCAACGAGAATATAAATTCTGACTTTCCTTCGATTGCAATTTAATTTAATTTAATTTCTTCAAGTAAAACTCAAAGAAATTTGTTGAGTTTCACTGATATTCGTAGGAACAGATATCATATTGAAACAATGGACGAGACAAACGGATATCATATTGAAATAAGTATGCAATTACGAAATTTCCCTCATTGTCCTCTGGCTTGTACTATGCCAAAATAAGTGTCGTTGAAACATATGCAGTAAACCTAAAGTCTATGCAATTAAATGATTTTCTAATTTGGCACGATCTCTTGGACATCTTGAAAATACCATAATGAGGCAAATAATCGAAAATTCCATTCGCCATTTATTAAAAGACCGAAAGATCTTGAATTCAAATGAATTTGTGTGTGCAGCATGCTCACAAGGCAAATCAATAATCAGACTGTCACCAACCAAAGTTGAAACTGAATCCTCATCATTTATGAAAAGAATCCAAGATGATATATGTGGACCTGTAGATCCACCATGTGGGCCATTTAATATTTCATGGTGCTCATTGATGCATCAACGAGATGGTCACACATATGTTTGCTATCTACATGTAATATAATGTTTGCAAGAGTACTTGCACAAATAATTAAGTTGCGAGCACAATTTTCTGATTATCCAATAAACAAAATTCATCTCGATAATGCTAGTGAATATTCATCACAAGCATTTGACGATTATTGCATGACTTTGGGAATAACTATTGAACATCATGTTCTTTATGTCACACCCAAAATGGTGTGGCAGAATCATTTATCAAAAGAATGCAATTAATTTATTGATGAAATCCAAACACCCCGTTTCTGTCTAGGGACATGTAATATTACATGCAGCAAAACTTATGCGAATTAGACCGACAAGTTATCAGAAATACTCCCCAACACTATTAGTATTTGGAAAAGAGTCCAATATTTTTCATTTGAGGATTTTTGGATGCGCGGTCTACGTGTCAATTGCACCACCTCAACGTACAAAAATGGGCCCCCAACATCATTTGAAAATTTATGTCGGGTATAAATCACCGTTGATAATTAAATACCTCGAACCACTGGTAGGTGATCTATTTACTGCGCGATTCACAGACTGTCATTTTAACGAAACAAATTTCCCGACATTAGGGAGAGAACAGAATCAACTGTAAAAAGAAATTACTTGAAAAATACCTATGAATTTCTTGAATCCCCGTTCACGACAATGCGAATTAGAAGTACAAAGAATTGTACGTTTGCAACAAATTGCAAATCAGTTACCGGATGTATTTAATGACTCCAGCATAGTTGTCTGGTTGTATATTCCTGCAGAAAATGCACCGACAAAAATGACTGTCCCAGAAGGACAAATGAAAAGTGCCAATGAATCTTCTACGCGCCTGAAGCGTGGCAGACCTGTACGTTCCAATGATAAGAATCCTCGAAAGAAAAGGGTATTGGTTAATTATTCAATTCCTCAAACAATTTGTAGTGGCAAGGAACATATCCTTGAAGAGGAAGCTCCAGAAGAGCATACCTCTGAAGAAAATGAAGTTATCGAGAATTCAATTAACTTCATCGCTACAAAGAAAAATTGGAACCGGAATGAAATAGTCATTGATAAGGCTTTTGCATACAACGTGACACTTGACATAATATAAACTGACGAGGATCCTGAACCAACATCAGTTGATGGATGTCGGAAAAGAAACGATTGGTCAAAATAGAAATATGCGATCGAGTTTGAGTTAGACTCACTTGCAAAAAAAAAAAAAATTGTCTTTGGACCTATAATTTAAATAACAGAAGGTGTTAAGCCAGTTGAGTGCAAATTAGTATTTGTAAGAAAAAAAATGAAGACAATGAAACTGTCAGATACAAAGCGAGCCTTGTAGTTTAAGGATTCTCACAAAGTTTTGGAATTGATTATGATGAGACATATTCCCCAGTTATGGATGGTATCACATTTAGATATCTTGTAAGCATAGCAGTGCATGAAAAACTTGATATGCGCCTTATGGACTTAGTCACTGCTTGCTTGTATGGCTCATTGGAGAATGATATGTACATGAAAATCCTTGAAGGATGTAACATGTCTGAAGCATGCAAATCAAATCTCAGATAATGTTATTTCATCAAAGTACAAAAGTTTTTTGTATGGACTTAAACAGTCTGGACGCATTTGGTATAACTGTTTCATTGAGTCTTTAACCAAAGAAGGTTATAATAACAACCCAAAATATCCATGCGTTTTCATAAAGAAAAATGGGTCAAAATTCGTGATAATTGGAGTATATGTTGATGATCTCAATATTATCGGGACTCCTGAAGAGCTTCAATCATTTGTGGAATATCTGAAAACAAAAAAAAAAAAAAAAAATTGAGATCAAAGACTTTAGAAATACAAAGTTCTATCTTGGTTTGCAAATTGAATATGTGGATAATGAAATATTCATTCATCAAACCGCTTATACCTATAATGATATTTACATGAAAATCCTTGAAGGATATAACATGTCTGAAGCATGCAAATCAAATTCCAGAGATTGTTATTCCATCAAAGTACAAAAGTCTTTGTATGGATTTAAACAGTCTGGACGCATGTGGTATAACCGTCTCACAGAGTGTTTAACCAAAGAAAATTATACTAATGACCCAATATGTCCATGTATTTTCATAAAAAAAAATGGGTCAAAATCCGTAATCATTGCAGTATATGTTGATGATCTCAATATTATCGGGACTTCTGAAGAGCTCCAATCATCCGTGGAATATCTGAAAAGAAAATTTGAGATCAAAGACTTTGAAAAGACAAAATTATGTCTTGGTCTGCAAATTGAATATGTGGATAATGAAATATTCATCCATCAAACCGTTTATACCCAGAAGGTATTGAAGCGATTTTATATGGATAAAGTACATTCATTGAGTACCTCAATGATTGTCAGATCAATTGATCATAACAAAGATCCATTTAAACCAAAAGAAGATGATGAAGATATGCTTAGTCCTGAAATACCATATCTTAGTACAATAGGTGCACTCATGTACCTAGTAAATAGCACAAGACCAGATATTGCATTTGCAGTAAATTTATTGGCCAGATTTAGTTCATCCTCTACTAAACGACATTGGAATGAGATTAAACATGTTTTGCGTTATCTTCAAGGGACAAGTGATATTGGCCTATTTTATTCGAATAATTCTCGGCACAAGTTATTAAGCTATATTAATGTTGGGTATTTGTCTGACCTGTACGTGTGGTGATACTATGATTTCTAGGATATCCACAAAAAAGACAATAACCGTCACATCATCAAATCATGCCAAAGTATTGGTTATTCATAAAGTAAACCGAGAATGTATTTGGTTGGGTCAATGACGCATCATATTAAAAGAAAGTGTGGGTTAATGTCTGAAAATGAAGATCCCCCAACAATCATATATGAAAACAATGCGACCTGCATTGCTCAGTTAAAGGGTAAATACATTAAAGGAGATAGAACAAAACATATTTCATCAAAAAAAATTTTTACTCGCGACCTTAAAAAGAATGGTGAAATTGATGTACAACAAATCCGATCATTTAAAAATTTTGCAGATTTATTAACCAAGGCCCGACCGACAACATTTAACAAATTGGTGAAAAGAATCAGAATGTATCGGTTTAAAAATCTCAAGTAGAGTCCAAATAAGGGGAAACAAACAAAAAATTATATACTTTTTTTCATTCACTATGATTTTTTTCCACAAAGTATTTTCATAGTAAAATTTTGACGAAGCATATTTTTTATATAAATGCATCCAATTAGGAGTATTATATACTCCATCCGTCCCAAAAATATAGTCCTATTGTGTGTGGACATAAGATTTAAATAATATTAATATTATATTAGTAGTGGGTAAAATGTAAGGATAAATGACTTTTTTGCCCTTGTGAGTATATTAGTTTAAAAAATAATGGCAATTGTGTAATAATAATGAAAAAGTAGGAATAATTTTATAGTGATATGGTTATTTATGAAAATAAGACTATTGTTTTGAAATAGACAAAAATAGTAAACAAGACTATTACATTGGAACGGAGTGAGTACATAATATCTGCGTATACATTATACGGTGATGCATTCAATTCTCCTACATTCATCTATACAAACACTTATAAACATTGCCTATATACATACGTATACATATATTTATATAAATATAATATATTTATATATACAACTCTGCCAACACTTACTACATAATAAATATATAATATACAAAATAGTTATTAATAATCGGAGTAATTAATATTTTTATTTGTTATTTTTATAATTAATATTTTTATTTGTTTATTTCTATAATATTCATATTTACAATATATACTTATTTTCTTTTATAACGTCGGAACCCGCAGCCGCTACTTGAAAGTGCGCACTGGATAAACTCCGGCCGAACCTAATACTCTTGCAAATTAGGGCCAATAAGTAAATCACACTGGGCAAACCATGTGTGGCAAGTAAACGGAAAAGACATGTACGATTTTTTATTAAAAAGAAAATTGTTCATAAAAAAAAAAAGGAGTAATAACTATATTTATTAATTTTTACAGAAAAAAATAATTAAGGATTAATATTGAACTCATTCATTGGGTAAGAGATTAAAATTATTATTTTGAAAATAAAAAGACTAAAATTAACACCAATGAATAAAAATGACAAAATATATTTTACCCTGAATTTTTCTTTTATATTTTATTATACAATTAAAAAATAATTTGACATTAAAAAAAATAAAACATCTAATCATATCAAACCAATATTCTCACTCAAAATATTTCTATTTAAAACTCCAAACCCAAATTATGATACTACAGCCAAAGAAACGCTAATGTAAATTCATAACTCATAACATCATCGTCTATTTAAAAACTTTCAATCTAAAAACACAACCTAAAATATCTAAACAATACTCCAAACACAACCTAAAATACTTCGATAATATTAAAAAATACATATACTATTAAACTATCAGTAAATACAACAATACGACCTTACTTGAACAGTAAATACAACAATGATACAATATCATTACATTCCACTTAAATTTGGATCGAATGAAAGATGATGATTGCTTAGCAAATGTTCCTTGATTTTATTTATTTATTTTTTTCTAATAACCTTTTTTTAAGGAAAGCAACCGAAAGCAATTTCTAGTAACCTAAAGAACGAAAATATTTATGCCTCTATGAAATCTGCAAAAGAAAATCAGTAGAAGTAAATGAATAGAAAAACTAACCATGCTTGCATTGCAGCTGAATGGCCTTTTGTGAGTTAAAAAACACAACACACATAGACCGACCAAGCTTTTCGAGTCCCGCTATGCAGATTTCAACTTATGATTTGTTGCATTTTCATTGTAAAGTATCCCGTTTCGCAAGGTGAGGCGGCGCAAGGCAACAAGGAATCGGGACTGGTCACAAGAACATGAGTTGATCAAACCAAATGTTACGCACACGACCGATATGTAACACCAACTTAAATAAGTAGAAACCAAGACTTACCCATTGAAATGCCACAAGAGTAAACCAACAAGTAGATAAACTGTAAGCTCGACTGCTCGCCAGCTGCAGATACATAGGAATGAAAAAATATGTTAGCTAAAGTTTCTGGGAAAATTTAGACTTTGATACATGTTACAAATGTTTTAGGTGTGTGTTCTTTCCTAAAAATATTAAATCAAATTTTTATTTTATACTTTTATATTATAATATTAATTCTATGTTCAAAATATACTATCAACACTTATTTATATCATATCAAACAATTATTCAAATTAAAAATTTTTAATATTTAAAATCCAAACCCAAAACAACAAACAAACACACCTAAGATCTTACGCAATATGCTTGTCTGTGTTTTCGTTTATATTCACATTATCCAATTTATAATGCAATATTTTTCTCCCTAAAAATCAGTGTGTTCACAATCTTTTAAAGGTACACAGATTTACAAGAAAAATATTACAAAAGATATATATATATATAATATACACACATAACAATGAAAGTTGACAAAAAACACAAAATTATAATTTTCTATAATACTTTCACGATTCTCCATGTCTTGCAACAAAAACACTACCTATAAATACTAAACAAACTCGCTCATCCAATGACTTTTTATTCCAAACATTACATCTAACACGTGGTTTCCATTTAAAACATAATGACTCCATTCACCCAGTGTTTTTGGATGAAATGATTTTTGGAGTGTGATACTAAAAATTGCCAAAAATATAAAATATATTATTTTAGGTTGAATATTTGACTTTTTAAGTTTTATAATGACTTTTTATAATAAGCATTTTGACTTTTGTATAAAATATCTTTTATTAATTATTATTATTTTTGGAGAATGGCAATAAAAGGTGTCCAAAACTTAATTTTCAATTCAAACTTTAAAATTCAAAACATGCAAAGCTTAACGAACACACCCCAAAAGTAGTTGTTGGAATGATATTAGATATGTTGCAAAAAGACAAGTCCATATTGGACACTTGGAAAAGATGGTAATTTCATAACCCATTCTATACAAAAGGAACATTTTAGATTTCATTACAAGGAAATGCATTGAAGCGAGTCATTTGAGTTGAATAAAGTAAATGTGGAGAATAGTGTAGTTTACCAGAAGGACAAGGGAGCCCAAGCAGAAGATCCCACCCATAGACATGCTCAGGAATTTCAAGTCTCGTCCGGCCTGCATAGTGGAAGTTTATTGTCAGAATATATCCATAATTCCATGTTGTTCGTATTTACAAAGAGAAAGGGTACTGGCATAGGCATAGCCATAGCCATAGCCTGCCATTACAAAATAAGGATCTGAAAGAAACCAGTTATCCTTTGAAAACATTTGAAATCTTAAGGAGGTAGGTAAATAGATGCAGGTGCTGAAGGTTGAAGTTAGACTTGAAACTCCTGATCCCTGATAAGAACTCACTGTATGGAATGTAGAAAATAAATGGCGATGGCGTCTCAAGTAAGGAAAAAATGTGCCAACTGTTTGTTGCAGGAAGTAAATTCTATAAATCAGACAATAAACTTATTTTGAAAAGTTTTCCTTCACTAAAGCATTAGTAATTGAACCATTTCATCAACAGATGCATGATATGAGATATGGAGCCATAACATGTAATGTTGTGCCTACTAAACTATTGTCTGTGACAAGGTTTTCATTTAAGATATGGAAAAACTGACGGAAACAGTATTGTATAGTATCGGCGTACCATTAATGTGCCCTCAAGGCTGTGAGTACTGGGTGTGATGCACAGAGCAAGGAAGAAAGGTATAAGCACCTTGTGCATCTGCATTATAAAAGAAAATTACAGCATCAACTATGACTGCTTCAATCTCCAAACTGTTCTAGCTTTTACAATTCAAAATGTCATGTTTTTCCCAATTAAATAATGATTCTTCATCCGAAAGTATATTCAATCATGTATTCGGAATGGCGAACAATTATCATTTCAGAACAATAAAGTGGTGCCAACAATCAACAACCAAACATTCTTTTACCGATAAAGGTAAATTAAATGCAACATAGCTCCGGTTAATATAGGAATTATAATTGTTCAGGGAGATGTCAACTGACCTCCTGTATGACCTCAAGATCAGGTGAAAATATTTTAGGGAATAGCCAAGGAACTGAAGTACCAATACATCCTAATATCAGTCCACTTGCCGCACCAATAATGACCAGTGATTTAAGCAATGTTCGGGCCTGTCATCCCACACAAGCATTTCAGATATCTAGGTTAAAAAACCAATATTGGATTTCATACTTTACTGCATACTTTTGCAGCTTCTTTAAATTTTCTAAAGGGAATAACTCCATAATTGTGTCTGTCATTATTAGTTTCAACTGCATACGACATTACCAACCTTAGCTAGGTTTTGATTCACTCCACATATCAGCTCAGGCATAAATGACTGGGATGTTTGTGAAAGGGGCTCACCAAATACCGTACACATGCAGTACACTTGTATCATAACCTGAATAACAGGAAATTAGGAAGCTGACAGAAATAAGTTGAGTATGAAAAGAAATATTAGGTAATAACACAGCAAAAAATATTAACATGGAAATACCAAACCTGATGGGCAGCAACAGTTTTTGTACCCATTGATGTAGCAAAATATACAAGAAGAGAGTAAAATGCCACCTAAGTTTAAACATACATATTAATGAATGTCAGAATAGAAAAGTGCCAAGCACTGTTAAGTGTTAACAAAAGCAGAACCAATAAAGGAATCACGAACCTTTGACATCATTGTTACAAATACTGGAGCTGCAAGTGAGAATATTTGTAGGAGCTCATTAGGTGATGGAACAGTGATGGCATAGCCATTATATCCCTTACTGTTCAAAGCTTCAACCATCATGTAAGCTGCAACAACCTAAGACAACTTTGCATTTGAAGAAAAACCATAGAAAGTTGGGCGGGGAGCATATCTAGTTGTATATATCCTGATTTCTATGTGCAATTTCACATAATATTTTGTAAAAACATCTGAGGCATGTTCAGCTTACCTGAGATACCATTGTTGCCCATGCTGCCCCAGCAATACCATAATCCAAGAACCTGCATAGCACTATGTCACCAATGCCATTAATAACACTTGCAGCTGCCAATGCCTTTAAGGGTCCCCAGGAATCTTTCATTCCTAAGCTGTGCAATACAAACAAGACGAGTAAAAATCATATTAAGGAACTGCAATTTAAGTTATATTGACAAAGAATTACTTAGATAATATCAGCTACAATCAAACTGCACCAATTTTTAAATTGAAAACAAAAAGAGGACAAACTAATGAGGGCATTTCCATAAGAGTACATATTATTTATTAGGGGCTTTCAAAATTGGAAGTAGATAAATAATAATACAAATATTAAATTAATAAATAAAGCTGTGATGTTGAACAAATAAACCTTGCACTTTGAGCAACCCATCCAACTAGTATTGCTGGCCATGCTAAGCCTCGAATCTGTTAATAAATACAGTTTATCATTTACTATCCCAGACAAATGGAAAACAAATAATACATTTAATGTAACTCTTTGTAAAATTCCAGCTATCAATGTGAGTTCCAAAGAGATGAAAATGGTAGAATGTTTGTGGTAAGTAAAGAGTCAAATCTCTTGAGCAACACATGGTGTAATACACAGCAAAAATAATCTGCGGAAGTTAGCTGGAACTTGCCAAGCCGAAGTCAAGACAAATTTTATTTTGGATTTTTGGTATAAGTTAATAAGGAATTGGGTTTAAATTAAGAGATTGGACCCAGGGTATAATAAATAATAAAGTATTTTATGTTTAAAAAAAAAAAAAAAAAAAAAAAAACAGGGCAGCAGCCAGCCAGACACGCACGCCGCCCACCTCTTCTTCTCCCTTGAGGCTTTCTTCTCCTCTTGGATTTATTTTTTTTTTCTTAAGCTAAGTGGGATTATTCTTAGATCGTAGGCCTCTTCTATTGATATTTTTCTAAAAGTGTTAATTTTGCCAATTTCTTCTAAAAAGTTTATAATGTCCCATAGGCATATGTGAAGATTATTATAGTATTTTAAATGGAAAATTGTAGAATTTGTGAAATCCTAGTTATGGTTTTTGGAAAAAATTTTATGATTATATTTAAATATTCTGATTTTCAGAGTTAGATTATACCTATTGGAATGAACATATTATTCAAATGTTTAATTGGCCAAATAAAGTGAGATTAATGAACTTGTTGGATTCTAAATACTCTACTTTCTGTTTGGTTGGTTAAATGTTGGAAATTGGAAGGTTTTGAATTGGAAACTCTTTTTGAAATTTGTTTAATAGCATGTTGAGTATTGAATCAAATTGGTAATTAAAACTATCTGTCGAGTCCGATCAACTCGTCGATTGTTTGGATGATAAGACATAGCCTTCCACCTCTGTGCCTTGCAAACACGCGAGGGTATACTGGTATTTTAGGATAACTAGCTAACCTCGAACTAGAACCCGAATGGGCTAAGTCGAGGGATCGAGATGGCGGGTTCCCTTTTTGGGTGGTTCTAAGGTGCCCATCATTCACGATGAAAAAGGTCTTTGGACCGTCATCCGTGATGGAAGGATGAATTGCGTACAATCCCCCATTAGTATGTTATATTGGAGACTAGAAGGTTGTGGGCCGTTTGGCGCCCCTCGCAAACTAAGCAAACTAATAAACAAATTGACTTTCGTGTACTTTGGGCTTCGAACCCTTAGATCCACATTGTGGAGCTTTCCTTGAGGGTTGTGACCCTATGCTTGTTATGTGCAACTATGTGAAGTGTTATACAAAGTAATAAGGTTGGAAAATCGGGTCGAGCCGGCCCTAATTAAGGCCTAGTGGAGTTTTCTTCGTGATGTGCTCATCACCATTATTTGAGAATGAAAATAAGATATAAGAAAGGCGTTAAAAAACTCGGGTGTGTGAGCTATCCTTATGTGATATGTGATATTTCATTCAAATTATCTTCTTCAAATGATTTTATGGCATTTACACGTGAATCATGACTTATATCGTATCAATTTTATCTTAGATTAATTACGTTGTGTTGACCCTCTTCTTAGAACCTTTTTTGTAGGTGATGATGCTTCCGTTATACCTAAATGATGCATTTAGGTAATGACTCATTGGAGGAACTATATCTATTTTATCTTCTAGAATGCTTTTGAAATTCATTAATTATGCAGGACTAACGACTTTTGAACTATTTCCAACTCATTTTTTGCTCAAACTTTACTTATTTAGTTGATAAGCCGGTACGCTTTAATTTTAAATCTCTAATTAGATGTTTGTATTCATTATTTTAACCTTAGCGCCACAATGTAGGGTTAGTTGGTTGATGAACGAGCCTTCCGGTGTGGCGCGGCGGTGACACTTTGGTTTGAGCCGGCCGGGATATTACACATGGTCACCAAGTTGATATTCATGGATAAAGTGTATTATGAAAGATGTTATACCATAGGGGACACTTACATGGTCCAAAATATTAGAGTACTACTCTCATCATGTGTAGGATCTACAAAATCATTGATTGATCAATTTTTTAAAAAATCAGAAAATACTTCTTTGTTCCGGCCTATGGCTAACTCTCATATAAATCCCCCCATTTTTGCTCTACCTCAATACATATATATATATATATATTAATATTAGATCTTCCCTTCCCAAGCTTCTTTGATCAATGTTATCCCCTAATTATGTCCTCGTCAATGCTTATTAATCCTAGACTTATTTAAGCCCCTAAAAATCTCTCTACGGATAATAAAGAGAGCAATTAAGGGTTCAAGGATTATTCAGCTCTTAAATTAAGTTCGTTGGCGTCAACGATACACCAGCAAACGACGGGGTTCTCCCCCTTTAGACCCAACTCATTGTCTTCTTGCGGCCCTTGCTCATTTACTTCTTGTTCTTTATCAATTCCCTCCCCTGCAAAACAACCTTGTCCTCTTCGATATTTCCTGATTGTTGTACATTGGCAAGCCCCTCTAAAGACTCCCTTTAAACCTCGTGTCAAAGCGAGCCATAAAAGCTTGTGACAGTTCCACCTACGTAATGTTAGGCTTTTGAGAACGCATTCAAGAGAACCAATACAAGGTCTCCATAGCCACCAAAGCCGGCGGCACCTTCAAGTGAGGTCGGGTTTGATGAATGTCAAACTGTTGGTTGGCTCGAGATAACCAACATATTGGATCGGTCCTCTCAAAAGCTGGCAATGCTAGGGTCGGTGTAACCTGGCCTTGATGGTGATCTGGTTGATCCATAACAAAAGACCTATTCGAGTTTTTCCCTTTTTCCATGTTCTTCTCTGGCGATTTTGACGCTGATGGATGAGCCGCTAACACTAACTGTGTCAATTTATTCAGTGTCGTAGTAATAGAATCCAATTTCACATTTGTAGCTTGCAATTCCCCTCTTAGATCAGCCTGATCAGGCTCTAATTTCTCCATCCGTTGATCAATGGTGGATCAGGTCATGATGACGGCAACGGCGGTATGAGATCCAATAGGTTGGACCAAATTGATAGATCAATTATTTAAAAAATCAGAAAATACTGCTTTATTCTAACCTATGGCTCAATTCTCATATAAATCCCCCATTTTTCCTCTACCTCAATATATATATATATATATATTAATATAAGATCTTCCCTTCCCAAGCTTCCTTCATGAATGTTATTCATAATCCAATCCCCTAATTATGTCCTCGTCAATGCTTATTAATTCCTAGACTTATTTAAGCCCCTAAATCTCTCTAAGGATAATAAAGAGAGCAATTAAGGGTTTAGGATTATTCAGCTCCTAAATTAAGTTCGTTGGCGTCGGTGATACACCAACAAATGACGGGGTTCTCCTCCTTGCAGACCCAACTCATTGTCTTCTTGCGGTCCTTGCTCATTTACTTCTTGTTCTTTGTCAATCATAGAACACTCTACTCTACATAATAAACATTAGTTTTATAAGTAATTGATTAGGCCGAGAAGGTATGACTTATGATTTAAGGAGTGTGATTTCTTTACAAGATGGCACCAACTAAATCCAAAGCTAAAGATAACCCAGGAAGGATTATTCACAAAACTTGGAGCAAGAGATTCACAGATCTCTCGCCTATGACTTTCAATCAGTCCTGTATTTCAGTTCACTAGTCTATTAGGTCCTCTTTTCAGCACCCATTCGATCTCTCTACATGATTTTATGCTCCTAGGCTTGTAATCCTCCTATCTTTTATTTATATAAAGTTGCTTCTTTCCAAAATTAATTGAAAAGCCACGATATGAAGAAATAAGAAACCAGAAAAGCATCTGAAAAATTGGTAGTTAGGCATGAGAACAAATGAACAATAGCTTACCATCAAAGACATAATGCTTTCACAGTGAAAATGTGGAAATGACAAGATTATTTAACAAAAAGGTTATGGTCATGGCGCAGAGAAACAGACCTGGACATACGTGTTAGCTGCGGTTATGATTTCGGCATTCTTTGCCCCTGTAAATGCTGTTGAGAATCGAAGACAAAATGATCAGCCCACAGCAGCGCAGCACAGAACATATACTAATAATCCAATGCATAAACTAGAGGGGGTCTACTTGTTCACCTGTTAATGCCCACTGACCATATAACCTTGTACAAAAAAGCATCAGAAAACCACAAGCCAATCCAATAAACAGCAACATAGATATCTGATGCTGCACCTCATTTCTATCCTGCGCCACTTAATGGCGGACAACCAGAAGCCTTGTGTTAGACAGGATTCATGGTTTGATTCACAATGCAACCTATTAGTAATTTGAAGCCAAATTTAAGATTCAGTATCTATCTCCAACCAACAAACCTGCCTGGCGAGAGATGTAGCCACCAAATTTGAAGTAGCAATGGAAAGAAACATAAAAACATAACTTGTATTATCACATAACACTGTCCCTGGCCCTGCCAAAAGCACCAAAAACAAAAAACAAGAAGAATTCAAGAGCAAAGACAAACAAAATCAAGCTAAAAAGTAGAGTCGCATAACAGTATTTATCCGGAAAAACACACAAGTAAATTGCGAATCTGGAACTACATACCTAGAGCAGCAAGCTCAGTTGAGCTCCCCTGACCAACAACAGCAGTGTCAATTAAACTCATCATCGGACCGCAAATCCAAAGCCCCACCGCTGGACCTGAAAATTTGGCAATTTCGACCATCTGACTCCACAAGCTCTCGTTCTCCGAGGATGCCTCAGCCTCAGAGATTCCTTTGACCAACTCCACTTTCTCGGCTACGTCCAAATGCCCTTCTTCTTCCTCCTCCTCTTCTTCATTCTGCGAAATTGGAGCAATGCTCCTCCCAGCAACTTCATGAATTGGAGAAGCGCAGCATGAAATGAATATTCGATTGCTCTTTAGGCGGAAATATCGGACGCCTGACCGCGAAACAACTCCATTTCGACCAAAACTTGTCCGGGCAATCTCGAATCTAGGAGTGCAAAATTGATGAATTGGAGATTTGAGACTCATGGCGCGGAGGCTTGGTTTGGATTGCGCTTGACGCCGCCGAGAAGCTCGAGAAAGAATAGCGCCAAATGCCCAAATGGAATGGAATGAGCGGCTCTACGAGAGACCCGTTCCTTGAAAACTGGAGAATGCGCACGCGCCTGTCTCTCGCTCTCTCTCTCTCTCAACGTGCTTTTCATGTCCAAATTTTGGGAGTATACTATGGAACAATTTTTTTAAAAAAAATAGTTTTAATTTAACTTTTATTTAATTTTTTATTTAAATAGTATTTTTATTTAATATTTTTAAATGAAATTATTATGAATGTATTTGGTTTGAAATTTGAATTTTATAATTGAATTTATTATAATAAAAAATTTAAATTTAAATAATTATATAAAAAGTAAATATTAATATAATATCAAAAATGAAAAAAATAAATAATTTGATTTCATATTTTTTACCAAAAAATATTGATTAATAATAAAAAAATTTAAAATTTCTCCAACCAAACATAAGCTATGAATTTATTTACTTAGTAATTTTTTTATAAAATAATTTTCATAAATATTATATATACATTGATATAATATATACTATAATATATATTTTATTCATTCATAAAATTCAATAATTTTTAATATAAAATATTAATTTTTATATTATCATCATAATTTTTTTTTTGTCATATATAATGTAAAATACACTAATAAAAAAAATTACAAAAGTGAACATACCCTATAATTTATAACATAGGATGAATATGATTTACAGAATTTCAATAAACCACTCTAAAAAAAAAAAAACCATTTATTTACTATTTATTAAAGGAATAATTGGACTAAAATCCCTGTGAGTTTAATCTAGTTGCAATTCAGTCCCCGTTATAAATTAATTAGACTGCAGTCCTACTTTATTGATTAGATATGTTATAACTTCTTTTTTTTATTTTCCACTCAATTACCGTTGTATATGTAATGTGTACTTACGATTGTTTAATAAATACTTCCAATTTTATAATATATACATACATTATCTCCGCTCTACCCCCAGTATACGATTAGATAATTCCATTTAAATATCGCATACTTTATTTTGTAATTTTTTTTTAAAAAAAAAACAGAACGAAAATACACACGATTTAAGAGCTGAAACCTTCCCTAATTTCCCTCACTCTCCGTCTAGGCCCTAGTTCTTCAAGAAGCAAATCGACCTATAGAAACTCGACGATCAAGCAGTAACGCATTCGTTCAGCGAAATAGTGAGGAAAACAGCCAACCCGCCGCGATCCCCCACGACGAGTTCGAAGAAGTAAATGTCTGGTCGAAGCCTTTTTCGTTTTATGATTTTGTTGACAATCGAATTTTATACCGTAGTTTATTCGATTGTTTGGGGTAGAAGCCTTTGTCCCGTGTTTGCATGCCTCGGTTCGGTGATGAGGAGCCCTGGGTGTTCGGTGTTGTGTTTGTTCAACGGGTTTGAAGTTGTTTGAATTTTTTGCCAGGAAACCCGGTTTGGTTTTCTATTTATGCACTGATTTTGGGTGATTTTATCTGTTTTATCTTTGATTTTGTTAATTTTGGAGATTTATATTTTGTTTAGTTACTCGAAGTTGCATATTTTAGTTTTTTTGTTGGATTGTTCGGTAATTAATCATATTTGTGGGTTGACAAATGCGGTATTATTAGGTACCAGGAGTTTCATTTGTTTGGTCTAATTTGCTAATTAATATACTTGTATGGGACTATTATATACTCGGAATGCATTTTTACTCCTGATAAATTGTGAAAAACTTTTAACTAAATTAGATATTTGGATAACATGGACTTATGGTATTTACTTACAGGCCAGAGAAGGAGCACAAATCATTAATCAGCCGATTTGCATTACCATTTTTTCACAATGAGGTGTGGAAACTGAAGCAACACATGATGGACGAACACATCACAGCCATAAAAATGACTTCGTTCGGGCATTTTTTGGATTGCCCGAAAATGAAGTTTCCGTGGAACTGCCTTCTTGCCCTTGTTAATAACTTTAGTTCGGAGTTTATGTCGTTCAATATCGGAAGTGACATTGAGCTGCCGTTTGAAGTTGAAGAATTTTATGTAGTCTTAGGACTACATGCGAAAGGAATCTACGTGACCGAAAACACATCAGTCGAAAGCGAATGGTTTGTTCAGTTTTTGGGAGCAAGCCGTGTTCTGTATCCCGTGGCCAGGTGTTGCAGAAGCTGTGTGAGGCTCTATTGCAGGGGCTGGAGCCTCTATCTATTGCGGACATTGCCCGTCTCTTTATTTTGCTTGTTTTTGCAAATATTTTATTTTGTTCTGCGAATTATTCTGAACCTCTTTTTTTGTTACCGTATGTGGATGACCTGACTGCAATTGGTGACTATGCGTGGGGACCCGCAAGTCACCGATATCTCTTGAAGTCTATAAGCGACTTTAAGTCCAGAAAGAAATATTTGACAGGCTGCACAGTCGGTTTGTTGATAAGCAATGTAATATCGGATTTGTTAATTTTTTCTACTTATTTTGGTATATTGCAGAATATGTCTATTACTATTATTGTTGGCAGTAATGAGATTATTATTATGTGCAGACTTGGTTCAATGAGAGAGTCCCAACTTTGGACAAGGCACGGTGCCTTCCAAAGGTACCGCGTCTCTTTCGGTAGCTAAATAGCCTTGGTCCGATGTCCAGGGTTCATGCAGTGACTGAATTGTCATACCTGAAGCGGTTAGATATTCAGGAATTTTATCGAATAGGCACCGTAGAGAAGTTTGTTCGTGCAATTTGCCATGCTTCGGAGGTAAATGCATTATTCAATGTTGCTACCATTGTAAATGGATAAAATAATTTCTTATATGACATTAGTAACAGATGTTGCAGGAAGCGGCTCAGCAAATTGCGGCATTGAAGGTGAAGCTGCGGAAGAAAGACGTTGCAATTGCCAGACTTGCTCGTAAATTGCAAAGAGCTAAAGCTGGTATTGTCGATGACGACAGTGAAGGTAAGTACGAGGATGAGAATGATGGCGACGAGAAGGGTGACGCAGACTATGGGGAGGAGGAGACAACAGACCGGATGGCTGTGGAGTCAGAGAGGAAACAATTGCACGAGGATGAGAAAGATCAGACTGAGGAGGAATCGGAGGAAGAGAAGCATGGTGAGGAGGAAGAGAAGCAGACCGACAGGGAGGAGAAACAGGGTCAGGAGGAAGAGAAGCAAACTGAGGAGGAGGTGAGTCAGGGTCAGGAGGAGGAGAAGCAAACTGAGGAGGAGGAGAGTCAGGCTGAGGAGGATCCCGACGAGGCAGCGAAAGAGCGAGTGAATACCGAGCGACGAAGCAAAAACAAAATGGACATCCTTTTGGCCAAAATTGATCCGATAAACGAGTCGGATGACGAAGGGGTTGGTAGCCTACAAGATTTTAACCAACTGATGGCCATTGTTCCGTATATTGCACCGATATATGTCAAGGTAAGTTAATTAATATAGTAAGTATATTTTGTATGTCATAGTTGTCTATCTGTTGAGTGATTGTTTACTCTGTTAAAATCGTAGCTGGCCGATGAGTCCGACCGTGAGACTTGTAGTAGGGCCGCAGACTCATCGATCGTACGTGGTGTAATGGTACGTAAGGATCGGAAGAGAAAGAAGAAGCCTGAATTCGTGACACCTGTGTCGACACCACGAATTAAGAAAGCCAGAAAATCACGGAGGGCGAAAGAAAAGTCAGCGGCTGACGTCAATAATGAGTAGATACGTAGTTTGATACAAATATCAGTCGTCTGGCTTAAAATACTTCGGATAGATTCTAAAATACCCAGTGTTTTTTGAGTCAATACTTGTACAATAAATGTAGATACCTACGGAAACATGATTATCTTCATTGTTGGTTCAGGAACCATTTGTCGTCGGCGACGATGGGGACTCGGATGCTACGGTTGGAGCAGACCCTGGAGCACAAAAGTGGGAGGAATATTGCAATAACGACAGCTATTGTGGGAAGGGTACCTTATCTGAGGATGAGACAAACACCATTGAACAATTTCTTGCGTCATTCGCCGTTTGGTATTGCTATTCACTATTAAGGCTTTATATATTTTTCTCAATTGATGTTTTTATCCATTTGCGGCTATCATCTTGTAGGGACACTGTATGGCAGCAGGACATCGTGTCCGTCTCGTCCGATGCCATTCTAGAACTACTATTTGACGAAGCTGTGAAAGGCGAATTCATCGACGCATACCTACATCATCTATGCAGCAATGAATATCAGCTCCAACACAATCCGCAGGTGCGGTGTGGTTGTGTGCTATGGTTCGTAGCGGTGAGTATCCTATTTGGAATTTATACGGTTAGTATTACAAATCACACTATTATTATTGTGTTGGTTGCTTTGTTTATTTTCAGAAAGTCGTGAACGACGCACTATCACGACCAAGCAGGGGAGCGAAAAAGCCGATCATCAATAGAGGTAATGTGCTCGCGTTTTCCAACTCGCTGCAAGTGACCGTAGGCCAAGAGATCGCCGGAATCATGGACAAAATCTGGTTTGGATGCCAATATATATTTCTACCCATACACACCCAGTTCCACTGGCATCTCTGCATATTGGATACCGTCAAATGCGTTGTGTTGGAGTGTAACTCAATGCGCGATGCCTTCGGCCAGCGGAATGCAAAGAAATTGGTACGTCTGTGGAATAAGTATAATTAATTGCCTATGGGTAGACTGAATTCCTTAATGAAAGAGTAACATTATTTGTGTAGACGCGATTTTTATCGTTGTACATGAACGCGCCACGACTATGGTCTATGGTCAGCGACACGCCCGAGTACATTAGATGCCGACACCAGGGTGAAACGCTGGATTGTGGACCTTTAGTCTGCTTGTTCGTAGAGTGTTATGCGCGGGCAGGTCCAGATGTCAATCTTGTGGGCGTCCTCGGCGAGGACTTCGGCAATGTCAAGAGCTACCGAGGCACGATTGTGACGAGGATATTGAAAGGTCCCCCCTCTGAGGCGTAGACCCCGATGGAAAAACAGGGCAAGTTAACACATGTAATGAATTCGGATTGATTTGGGAAGTTCTTGCGTTGTGTGGCGTGGTAATGGATTTGTTTAATGTCTTCAATATGGATTGA